ATCACATCGATATAAATCACTCCATCAATATATCAATATATAGTTATACGCCCTCTATATCTTCCGGCATCTATATCCTAGCTAACAAGTAACGAGTTCGCAAAGTTTGTTTTGTCCATATATTCTAATATTTATCGCAACTATAGCTATATGTGGGCTTATCATTATGCACATAGTGTATTTCAGAACCATCCTCAGAGATACGAAAAACTAGTTTCATATTTAATCTGGCACTGCAATCGACCAACGAAAAATTCGTTGGCTCGAGCGGGATTTGAACTCGCATCTTCGGGTATCTAGACCGCCGCTCTACCTATTGAGCTATCGAGTCAACAGGGATCGGTAATGGTATAGCGAGTCTTATCCAAGTGCACGAAATATTTTCGTGACGACTTAACGCTTGTCTTAGAGGACGCGCAGTGTTTCAATTCTATTTCAGAACCATCCTCAGAGATAGGATACAATATGTGCATATGATAAGCCCACATATAGCTAGTTGCAATAAATATTAGAATATATGGACAAAACAAACTTTGCGAACTCGTTACTCATTAGAGGATATATATATTGCCGGAATATATATGCCGGAATATATAGAGGGCGTATTATACAGACACAAAATGTATATAATTAAAATAACTATATGTTGATGTGTATATTGATGGAATGATTTATATCGATGTGTTGTATTTGTGACCATTGCGCAAAGATATTTCACAAAGGTTTATTATTTACGAGATACCCTACATAACGTTTAGAAAATAGAATATAGAATTTTGGAAGACAAATAGCTAGATATTAGATAGGTCAAGGAAAATTAAGTGATGGAACGTGAAGTTTTTTGCCTATATACAAATTAAATCATAGCACGATATTCTGAGGGATGTTTCTCTCCGATAAAATAATGATTTTGGGCAAAATGTTGCTTAAAATTTTGAGTGCAATTTTGGGTCCAATTTTGAGTCCAATTTTGGGTCCAATTTTGGGTCCAATTTTGGGTCCAGTCCATGGGTCCAGTCCATGTTTTGTACTATGCCTCAATCCTGTTGAGCAGCGGGATCGGCATTTTTTGCCGTGTACACGCCACCACAGCAACCTAACTAAATAGTGGTAAATTGCAAATTTATATTCTATGTGAAGCCCGATTCTGAGCTCGATTCTTAGCTCGAATTCCGAGCTCGATTCCTTGGCTAGGTAAGTCGGTACCCTCCATTCATCCTGCAGAGTCACTTTTGAAATTGAAAGCTTGCCAAAGTGTTTATTTATACTCCGGTAAAGCAACAGGAGATGATCTTGTCTGGTGTTCACGCCGGTTCATTTGCATTTCTAAATTTATTATTTCAGTTTTTATCCCAAAAGAATATGTTGCGTATAAAAGAAAGCGACGGCAAAGTGGGACGATGGCCTTGCTATGTCTCTGTGACTACTTTTTAGATAACATGGCCATGCATTCGGAATTGCATTGCAAGTTGCATACCAGGTTGCATATACGGACGAGGCGATTTAGACTTTAGTGAGCACCGATTTGCAATGCAAATAATGTTACATGGTCATGGAACTCGATAGTTTCACAACGATTTCCCTTTGAAGTGTATGTGGATTGTCCCAAAATTATATGTACGTGCATGAACGCATCGCGCTTACAACATAATATTCACGAGACGCGAAAAATAACATGTACACAATATTAAACATATACACATTTATTTACTTATGAATTACGTCTTCGCAGGATATACCCTTCGCAAGCTATGAATACTATACAAGGTAATAGTTTTCTCTGAAGCGGAAAACCGCCCAATTATTTTCACTTTACTGGATGCATGTCGTGTTCAAAATGAGTGGTCAATATTGTTAAGCAGGGATGGTTCCTATAAGGCGCCTTTGCCTTGGTGATTGATCGCGAACATTTTATTACAAATACAGAAAGTAATCGCATATAGTTGCCACAGACAATCATATATATAGATCTGTGCCTGTGGACTATACGATCGACACCAAATTCAATCATTCAATTCAAGCGCATTCAATCATTTTATATACAGTAAGTATATAAGGCAGATGCTTACAATCATGGATTACAACAACAACAACAACAACAACAACAACAACAACAACATAGATTATATTTATTATATCATCAACACCAAGTTATTGAATTGAAGCTTTGTTTTAATTAATAAATACCTTTTCAAGGACGCGTCGATTCGGTGATAAATTGTAATCCAGCTGTACTATTCAGATCCACGCATCATTTTGAATTAGAATATGTCGGTTGCCCGTTGGGAAAGAAGTGGCAGGCAGCTTCGCTTGAATAAATTATTTCGCTTGGAACAATTTGATGTTTGCCTAAGCTACCTGCCACCTTGTCAAAAATAGACAGGAAACTAGGAAAGCCCAAACATACTCGAGCGCCGAGGATCACAGGCTGCGAGGATCATGGGTCGAGAATAGGGAGTTTACGAATGTAAGACGGCGACGTCAGGACGACGACTATCAATACAATTATTATTATTATTATTATTATTATTATTATTATTATTATTATTAAATTGAAACCACATTGCAGCCAGAAGCTGAATTGCGTGGATTACATATTATCACATGCACTACATATAAATATATTATTAATACAATATTATAAAAACCCACCCACGATCAAAATTCGATTAAAATAAGCATAAAATCTATCCTACAAACTTCCTACACATAGCGAGATGACATTAATCCCATAGCACAAAAGAAATGAATAATTAAATGTTTAGTAGGGGTTTTAGACGCCGTCCAAGCTCTGTTGGCAACGGCAAAATGCATATTTTCACGCCGTATAGACGCTAGCATTTCACGCCGTGACAGGTAGTTTTTCTAGCAGCGTTCATCAACATTGCTCTGAAGGTTAAAGCTCTGTTTTAGTCGTTCGAAACTATTTTAAATTCATACAAAAGTAAATAAAAGACAAGATTTTCATACAATCATTTATTTCAAACAGTCTGTTTAGCCGTCGTCCTGGCGTCGCCGTCTTACATTTCGTAAACTCCCTAATGAAATATAAAGACATCCAGTCGATTTTTTATCTTTTGAAGAGGTTCAACTAGACCACTTTTTATCTCGACCCTCTAAAGAAACTTACGGAGCTAATTAACCGCCTCGCGTGGAAGCTAGCTCAGCAAGTTTCTCTCGAACGTGGTGGACTGGAAGAAATTAATAAGTGAGACCTGGTATTTACTCTGTGCCTCTACCCTCGACTGGTATCCATGTCGACAATCTACCCTGAGATCACTCAAGAGGCAAGAGCAAACTTTCTTATAGGTCAATGTCATACATGCATATATAGGTCAATGTCATACAGGCGCTGACAATCCCAAGCACGTTCGTAATTACCTAATTGACGGACGAAATTAAACAAACTTGATTAGCACATAGGCCTACTAAATACGTCTATTGCGGATGACAGTTTTCATATTAGGACAACGTAGGGACCGAAATAAAGAAAAGGTGATTGATATATATGGAAATAAAGGTGATTGATATATATGGAAATAAAGGTGATTGATATATATGGAAATAAAGGACATTAAAGGTGATTGATATATATGGGGACACAGTAGACTCTGTTCACTCACGTGACAGTGCGGTCAATGCGACCACAAACATACCGTGCGGTCAATGTCACCACATTTGTTACCTTATCGACTTAACGCTGTTGACTGTTAGTACCAGCTGCGAGAGAGACCCCTTCTTTGTATAAACGTAGACACTCCGACTATAAACAATCTTTTCAACGATCTGGGAACCGTATCATTTCTTTATTTTATTAATATCAACAATCTACTTATTACAAACCGTCTCTCCACATGATGAGACCGTTCAAACTTCAAACCATCATCAACTAACACTTTTTTGCTCTGATTAATCCGAATTAAGGGATTTGACATTGATGACATTTGTTCCGATCATTATTTTTCGACCATGGAAAACGCGGACATGGAAAACGCGAACATGGAAAACGCGGACATGGAAAACGCGGACATGGAAAACACGGACATGGAAAACACGGACATGGAACTGAGCATATAACGGCCCTAAACTATATATATATATATATATATATATATATATATATATATATATATATAGCAAAGGGGCCTAGAGCAAATAAGGGAAAATTTGGCTTCCAAAAAAGGTCCCCCGACTTTTCATTGGGGGGGGGCGGGGCGGGAGGGGTATTACACACACCCCTGGCCAGCACGGCACAGACTATAGCTTGTGAAACGCAAGGCTTATCTAGTAGAGTTATTGGACGTTGCATAAGTTTAACACTGGTAATTGTATTAAATCTACTACTACAAGATGAAGCGACGAATTGGAATGGGCAACAAAGTCCAGATAATTAGCTTCAAGGAAAAGCGATGATTAACCTCATCAAAGCATTCATCAGGAAATGTAAGGACTTAGAATACGGCTTCAAGTCATGGGCGGATTTACTGGGGGCGGGGATTAGGGGAGGTTAACCACCACCCCTAGAATCTCTCTAACCCCTCTAATAAAGTGTTCAACCCCACCAAAATTTCGCTTCACCCCTCCTATTTTACGGAAGCCCAGAAGTGCAATTGCTATTACCTATTTCCTTGTTGAAAAAGTCGATTGCAAAAGCTACTTTTTTCGCTATTTCCTATATTACCGTGTTTCCTATTACCTATTACCGTGTTTCCTAATGCTGTGTTCCCTATTTCCTATTACCTATTACCGTGTCACACAGCAATAGGTGACACGGTAACAGGTAATAGGAAATAGGGAATACGGCAATAGGTGACACGGTAATAGGTAATAGGAAACACAGCAATAGGAAACACGGTAATAGGTAATAGGAAACATGGTAATAGGAAATAGCGAAAAAAGTGGCTTTTGCAATCGACTTTTTCAACACGGAAATAGGTGATAGCAATCACACTTCTGGGCTTCCGTACTATTTTGTGTGAAAGGCATTAACCCAAACGCCTAACCCTGCCGAAGCTCACTGAGTGGCGCCGCTTGCACCCCACCAGAACTTTTTCTACCCCTCCTCTTAAATAAATGAAAATCCGCCCTTGCTTCAAGTAATGTTGGAGTACACTGTAATAGACCTTTCCACTTTTGAGTGAAATTTTGATCTAGACGAGTCTGGACAAGTCAGTCATCACAGTTTGAAAGAGCATCACAAAATTAGTAATATTCCGAAGTTTCGTTGCGAAATGTTGTAAAATGCGGATAATATAGCCTTGCGAAGTTTGCCGTTTTTCAGTCATTTGGTATTACAAACGGGAAATTGATAATCAGATGATCAAACTGATGCAAAATGTTAGATTGTAATACCAAATGACTGAAAAACGGCTATATTATCCGCATTTTATGACAACATTTCGCAACGAAACTTCGGAATATTACTAATTTTGTGATGCTCTTTCAAGCTGTGATGAAATTGTTGCCCAGGCATATCTAGATCAAAATTTCACTCATAAGGGGAAAGGTCTATTGAGTACCCCAAGTCGTATAATGCAAAAAATTTGCATAGCATGACCTGTTGCTATGGCTAGCTTCGCCACTCAACACTAGCAATCCTACGACAACCGGATATTGGCTTCTACATGGACGACGAGAAGTGAGAAGATAATCACGCCCCTCGTGGAAATAAGCTTCGGTTTGTACAAGTTCGAAGGTGCCCTTTTTGTTTCCTGAAAACATTTACGTATGCCTTTTTACACAATTCTAATCTGCGTCATGTAAGTAAATCCAATGAAAGAAATTTATAGGAAATCTCGATGTTTTAAAAAAAAATGGTCACAAACGTTGATTTATTATATAAACATAAGTGTTATATAGAGTTTTTGGCCACTGAGAAAAATCGTATTTAAACACACGTAAAAAAATGCAATATTTTTACATGTGAAAATATCATTTGTTGTAAAACGCATTGCCACGGACGTTTTATTGTTTTTCACTGAATTTTGTTTATATAATAAACAGAAAAATACATGGGTGCTTGGAAATTAATACCAGATTTATTTCTCGTGTTGAACATGATATCTCACTCATCTGGTATTTCCGCGCTCCCATGTATTATTCTCTATATATTGTAGTTGTAGGCCTACGTTGCGATTCGAAATTTGGGCAAATGAATATATTATATTGAGTATGAAATATATGGTTGGAATTTTCCCCTTCCCTCCACCCCTCCTGTCAACATTTCCGGGGAAATTCATTATCGAAAGGTTCCCCTCAAAACCGGTACCCCCCCCCCCCAATTTTTTCATGCTTCCTATGCCCCTGATGAATGGCAGACGTTGCCAATGACCAGGGACATTAAGAATCCGGAAGCCAAAAAAGAGACTAGTTCATATATGTTTGTTATCGATTACATTAATTATGGACCATCACTTGGACCTCCTTGTAGTGTCTGTGACGTCACAGTCACGTGAGGAACACGAGGAGAGACAGAGTAGTGCTGGAGAGAGAGTATTGTAGTAAACGAGCGAGAAAATAAATCCTTAAAGTTTGATAATATAAACACTATAATTGGCGACGAGGTAAAGTAAAAGTATCGACGTTGGTTGATTTTCATACGAAATGGCTAAGGTCCTTGATTTACCGGCTATTCCACCCTTTTCTGTGTCTGAAACGAGTTCGTTGGCACAACGTTGGGACAAATGGACGAACTCGCTCGATTACTACATTCGTGCTTCGGGTATATCCGATCAAAAGCAAAAGCGGGCCATGTTAGAGTGTTTGTTATTGTTGTGGAAACGAAGGGCACCGTGCGAAGGATGTCCAATGTCCTGCCCTTGACAAAACCTGCCGACGTTGTGGCAAGTCCGGTCATTTTGCTAGGGTCTGTCGCCAAAAGACCAACAAACCGAAGCAATACAGGGAGGATGCTCGACAGCTTGAACAGTCTGACGATGACTCTTCTGAGAACGAATGTTTATTTACTCTCACGGCTCATAATGTGCATCATCGCTCGGACAGCCTTCATATGTTGGAAATTGAACACATTCCAGTGCAAATGCTTATCGACTCGGGGGCTAGTGTTAACGTCCTTGATCTCGAGACATATCATCGTCTAAAAGCGCGAAAAGGAGTCCAGTTAATGCCTTCTACCCTTCGTGTTTACGCATACGGTTCTACGACCCCACTTAATATCCTGGGAACAGTCTCCGGTCGGGTAACATTGTGATAGTCACCCGTATAAATAACAAACTTTATTTATCTTTTACAATCTAAGAGTATAACACAACGTGTTTACAACGTACGTCCATAAAACAATATGGCGACTCTTGGGAATCCTGCTGGTCAACATTTCGCAGGCGCTCACACTCCCCTCCTAAACTCCAACATACATAACAGAAAATTTCGATGTTCCTAATATTAATAAGTGTTCAGTCCAACAGTTCATCGTTTATTTCCATTGCTTCGCGCTGTTCGTATTGTTGTTGATGCCAATCAACCTGAAGACGTTTAGTTGGTTGTCGTCCTCTAGTGCTGCGCCTTGGTGGTTGTGGTTCACCTTCCGAATCGCTACTTGACTCATAGTTGTCTGCCTGGTCATCTGACTCTTCAGTTTCCCACGACAGGACTTGTGGTGGGGCTGGCTCCAGCTCGTTAAAATGCCTTTGTTTCACACGTCCGGACGGGTTATTTTCCTCTTGCAGCTTGTAAGTGTTGCCGTGGCGCTCTAATACTATAAATCGTTTACTCTTCAAATCTGCCAGCTTCTTACCGCCTAGTTTGTTCCGTTCTGTAGCTGTGAGACGAGTTCGAACTCCTTCCCCAATCTCGAATGGCCGTTTCATTGCCGTTTTTGTTCTCTTCTTCCGTTTGTCCTGTTCCACAGAAATCTTGCGCTTCACCAGTTGAAAAACATCATCCAACTTCTTGGCATCAGATCGAGCCTGAGCTGCGACTCCACCCTGTTTCACGTCTTCCGGTCTCCATTCTTCATCTGAGCCGGCAGAATCTTCCGGCAAGAAGAATGCTTACGGTCGTCTCGCTTGTTGTTTGAAAACCAGTTCGTGCGGTGATATCCCGGTGGTCCTGTTTGCTGAAGTGTTATGGGCAAACGTCACTGCGTGCATCGCCCTTGGCCAACTTGCGGGGTTCCTATTACATACCGCTCTAACGTTAGCAAAGAGCTGGTTTTGTCGCTCAACTTGTGCTTGTGACTGCGGATGCTCGGGACTTCCTAGCGCATGTTCGATGCCAAGTTCCTTGCACGTAGCTTCAAAGACGGTCGCGGTAAAGTGGGGTCCTTGGTCGCTACCAATCACTTCAGGGATGTCGAACTGAGTTATCCATTCATCTATTAACACCCGAACTGCTGTCTCTGCCGAATTATCTGACGCTGCGACCAACTTAACATAACGTGTTAATACATCCTGTATGGCAAGGACATATGTGAAGCCTTCTGGGACTGACGCTTGAACGGGACCAACGAAATCGATTTGAATGCGCTGGAACGGTTGTTTTGGAATGTCAGTTTTCTCCAGGGGTGCTTTGCCTTTTGAACCATGTTTCACGCGTTGGCAGACATCGCAACCGGCAACATACTTTGCTACATCTGACTTCACACCCCTGGCCACCATACCATTGCCCGAACACGGTCCCATGTGCGATCACGTCCCATGTGTCCCCCTAGAAGTGAGTCGTGAACTAACTGAAGAAACCTCCGACGTAGACTTTGAGGAAGTACAACAAGGAGATTCTGGTTTTTCCCGAGTGGACTATTTTCCGTTGGTCGACCCTTGTAGTTACGATAACGTAGAATACCATCTTCCAATACTGTCAATCGATCGCGCGCCTGCCACAAGGCCTTTGCCTCAAGGTTTATTGGGTCCTTCAATTCCCGTTGTTGTTCACAGGCTCTTAGGTATTCCCCTACCGCTGGACAATACATTTGGGCGTCATGGACATCTTTCCTCGCCAGCATGGGAAAGATTCGGTAAGCACAATTAAAGCACTGTCCGATTCAGCCTGACCTAATGTCGAGGTTGCCATACACAGAGTTGCCACCTGCTCTCCATGTCCTACTCTGGACAAGTAATCTGCCATTGCCAGTTCTGGTGACTTTCCTGCCCGATGTATTGGATCGAATGGATATTGTTGAAGGAATTCCAACCACCTCCCTCGCCTACCGCCAACATCGTTTAAGTCCAGGCTTTCGTTAATCCATGACAGAGCCCGATGATCGGTGATTAGGTCAAACCTCTTTCCCGCAAGATAAACACGAAATTTCTTTACTGCTAATACTATCGCCAGCAACTCTCTATCTGTGGTGCTATAGTTCCTTTCACTAGAGGAAAGAGTGTGATGAAAGAATGCCACTGGATTTAATGGGCCATCCGGTTTAAACCGATCCGGCTGAGCTAACATTGCTCCCGTACCCACTGTCGAAGCATCTGTTACCAATACAAATCGCCTGGTGAAATCCGGGAGGTAAAGTGCTGGAGGTCTCGCAACCTGTTTCTTAAGGCGTTCAAATGCTGCTGTTGTCTCAGGTGTCCATTTAAGTAATTTCTTACCATCTTTGTCTAAAAGATCATATAACGGTTTTGCAATGTCCGCCATCCCTGGAATCCATCGTTGCACGTAGGAGAATGCACCAAGCGCCTTCCTCAGCATTGTTACCGTTGTTGGTTTTGGGGTATTGATTAGTGCCTCTCTCCGGGCATCACTGATGGACAACATTCCTTCACCGATAACGTGACCAAGGAATTCAATGCGACGAACACCAAACGTACACTTCTCTGGATTCAGGAGCATTCCCACCTCTTGTAATCTCTGGAGTACTAGCCGGAGACGCTGCATGTGCTCAGTCCATGTTGCTCCCCAAACAAGTATATCATCTAGGTAGCAGAGTGCTACCTGCCAGTTCAATGACCCAAGGGCGCCACTCATCAGCCGCTGAAAAGAGGCTGGTGCTCCTGATAACCCAAACGGGGTGCCTCGACCAGTCCACTGGAACTGACCATCCATCTGGCGTGTTGAGATATATTCGCCCAGTCTTGCTGGTAGGCTTCCTGAGATTTTATTTTGGCATATTTCTCGCGTAGTGCCTTTAGCAGCTCAGTATCATTCGATTGAACTTCGTTCGGTTGACGAATTGCCCAAACTAGAACACTGTCCGTCAATTGGGCCAATAACATGTTCGCTCGTCCTTCTGGAGACGACCACCGAACAGGCTTGTTGGTTTCACTCGTATTTGCACGCTTGGCTACCGTCCATGCAGCTTCAAATTTCTCAAATTCGTCTGGCGTGACCTTGGCGCCAAATGTTGCCCTAAGCTTTGTTTCGATCGGTTTTTCGTCCGTTGGCATGTTTGTTTCGTCGTTTATATCGCTGCTTTAGCACGTGGGTTACTTATATATACTCTTAGCGCTGCCACCAATGTGATAGTCACCCGTATAAATAACAAACTTTATTTATTTTTTACAATCTAAGAGTATAACACAACGTGTTTACAACGTACGTCCATAAAACAATATGGCGACTCTTGGGAATCCTGCTGGTCAACATTTCGCAGGCGCTCACAACTGCAACTCTGCAGAAATCGTGGCCAAGTTCGTAGTGGTACACAACCAACACGCCGGTTGTCTTCTCGGGCGACAAACTACCACTCAACTGGGACTTTTGCGGTTTGGACCTCAAGTTTCGTCCATCAATTGTGCAGTATCTCCCCATTCCCTTCGCCAACGGTATCCCAGTGTCTTTGACGGAGTAGGAAAACTCACCAATTACCAGCAGAAAATTTCCATCAACACCAACATCAAACCTGTTGCTCAGCCCCCACGTCGAATTCCCTTCCACGTTCGCAAGCAAGTTTCCGCCAAACTTGAAGAACTCGAAAGGCTGGATATAATCGAGGAGGTCCGTGGCCCAACACCCTGGGTCTCACCCTTGGTGGTCGTACCAAAATCTAGTGGTGAAATCCGTGTCTGCGTAGACATGCGCCAGGTAAATACGGCTGTAATACGAGAGCGGTATCCCATTCCCACAGTCGAAGAAAGCCTTCAGGATCTCAATGGAGCAGCTGTTTTTTCGAAATTAGAG